GAGATACGCCTGTCTAATCACCATGCCCAACCAACTACTTAATATGGGTTCTGAAGACTGAATTCAGGTCCTTATGCTTGCACGGAAAGCCCTTACCCAAGCCAAATCTCTAGAAACGTGCCCCAACCCTTTTTTGGTTTTTGAGACATGGTCTCATGAATCCCAGGCTGGCCTGATCATCCATCCTATATGTAGCCAGAGGATGACTTTGAATTCCTGATCTGCTGGCTTCCACCTTCCAAGAGCTGGGACTGTACCACCACAGTCAGCCTCTAAGGAGTTTAAAGTGAAGATAAAGCTCTGGGGAGCTCATCACCAGAAAGGTAAGAATCCATAAACTTCGCAATTCCTATGTCTTTGTGCAAGACTCTGCAAACACAAAGTAACAAAAATACCTGTTTGCTACATAATCATTTCATCACCTAGTAGATCCAATGTCAGTCACAGTTTATGCTTGTGATCAACCATGTTATAGACAAGAATTCTGTCACCTGGATACAGAGCCACACACCTATGATCTAAGCATTCAGGAGGGCCAGGCAAGATGATCAAGAGTCCAAAGGCCAGCTTGGGCTATATGGCCAGACTGTTTCAGGAAAAAAAAAGGGGGGCGGGGAAACAATCCTAACAGTAGTAATCAATGTATTTTTTTAAAAAAAATGATAATAGGCCAGCTCAGCAGTTATAGAGGCACTTCCTTGGTGAGCATGCCTGTTGACTGATTCCTGGAAACCACATAAAAATAGAAGAGACTCGATCTCAAAGTTGTCTTCTGACTTGAAATGTGTGCCATGGCATGCATGCTCCCTAAACAATAATGCATACTCACCACACACATTTATTTCTTGTTTTGTTTTTATTTTCTTACACATTTATTTTAAAAAACAACAACAAAAACCAAAAAACTAACAACCCAATGTTTTCTAGCCAGGTCTGAAAGACTTGCTCAAGACTTAGCCTAACATAAAACAAAGATTTTAAAAAAGTGATGGTGACTGTAGTCCCCATATACCCCCTCTCTCCCAACCCTTCCCCCACCAGACACACACCTCCAAAGTGATGATATGTGCTATTATTTTGATATACTTCTTCTAAATCTTCAAATGTGTGCCTTAGAAGTTTTAGGCAAGCCCACAGAAGTCTACATAAAACCAAAGATGCAAAAATATGGAGAGCTACATGCTAAAGACTGGATTCCAAGTTCTAAAGGCTGAGAAAACGGATGAGAACGCTGACGACAGGGAAGCACCATTTTTGTGAAGGACAACAAGGGTAAGTGGGTTGTGAAAGACCACTGGTTCAGGAAGATGCAGCAAGAAGTCTTCAAGAAGCCAAACATATCCAACCAGAAAGCCAAAGCTTTAGTATTTTCAGAAAAAGCTTCAAAGCACAAAACAAAGAAAATAACTGTCCATCCAAGAAAGCCCAAAGGGAAATAGACTAAAATAGAAATGAAGAACTGTGTGTGTGTGTGTGCACACATGCCCCACTTGTCTGGGGGAGAGAAGGAATGCTTGCCTATGCAGACCATGGAGGATGTTAGGCATCTGATCACTCTTCACCTTATTCCTCAGAGACACTGTCTCTCACTGAACCTGGAGCCAGGCTAGCTGCCAGCAACCCCAGGAACCCTACTCTTTACCCCTACACTACTGTTAGAGTTAAGGCCCATTTGCAGCTAGGCTTTTACATGGGTTCTAGGAATCCAAACTCAAGTCTTCATGCTTATACAGCAAGTGATCCTAGCCACGGAGCCATCCTTTAGCTCAACAGTTACTTTTAGAAATATCCATGCTAGTATCATTTAAAAAGAAAAATATCATTTAAAATCATTTAATGATTGGTATCATTTAATATCATTTAAAAAGAAAAAGGGAAAAAACCTGGGCTAGTGAGATGGCTCAGTAAATAAAGGCTCTGACCACCAGAGTTCCTGGTGGCCCTATTATCCCTGGGACCGAAGAGAGTTAAAAGCCAGCAGAATGGGGCTAGAACGATGGCTCAGAGAAGGCCCAAGTTCAGCTCCTAGAATCCATATCTAACTCCAGCTCTAGGGGAGTTAATGCTTTCTTCTAGACACCTGTACTCACACATGCACAAACACTCAAAGACATACACACACAAATAAACCTTTTAAGTGAAATACAAATCAACATTTAACATGAGCCACTTACATAAAAATAATCACCAGAATAGCCTCTTACATGATATAATTCTGAATAGTTTTTACATTCTATTTCCTGACTCATTTTAGTTTTGTACACTGAATATGCTTTCCCCTCACAACACTTTTTCTTTCTCTCTTGAGGGCTGGATAAAAAAATTTTAGGCTTTACAGTTCATGAGTCTCTTTAACAACTATGAAACAACCCAACTTTGTACCCCAACAGCAAGCACAGATAATACCTAAACAACTGCATGTGGCTATATCCCAGTAAAACCATATTTACAAGAGGCAGCAGGAAGGACTTGACCTGGAGACTGTAAAGTCTGTCAACCTCTGAAATAAAGGAAATGAAAGCATTCTTTTTGAAAACAAAACATGACTTATACTAGGTGCACTACATGAACTGATACTATTCATGGAAAAAAAAATCCCTTCGTTTTTAAGCTTAAACAATTAACACAAGGATGGAAAAACACAAACTCTTTAAGCTCTGGAAACCTTACTCGCATCCAGAAGATAAAATCTGCTAGGTAGCCCAAGGCCTGAAACAGAAACTGGTGGGTAGCAAGTTACAGATAGACACTGGGGAGACAATCTTTCATATTTAATTTGAATTTCTCAAATTTTATAATTTACCACCCATCTGCTAGAGCCTGCGTGCAGTCCTTGCTGCTGAAACAATTTTAGTTTACAGTTCATTCACAATCAGCACTGTTACATTCTACAAGCAGTGTAGAAGTGAGCTGGATGTGTGACAAGACCTTAAAGTGACCTCTGGTAAAAAGAAACTTGAAACTTTAGAACTGACAAATTTATAATCCCCCCCCCCCTTTAAATATTAAGGCTTTGAGCTTTATTTTTTTGAGTGGTAGTGGTGCACACTTTTAATCCCGCCACTTGGGAGAGAGAAGCAGGTAGATCTCTGAGTTGAAGTCCAGCCTGATCTACATAGTGAGTTTCAGTGAAACTATGTTTAAAAAAAAAAAAAGCTTTGAGTAGAGAATTTGTTCATAATACCAGGACTCTGGAGTCAGAGGCAGGATTAAGAATTTAAGTCTTGCCTAAGCTACACAGATACAGCTTGTCTCCCCCCAAAAAACAACAACAACAAATAGCTAAGTCGAAGGAGTTCTTTTTAACTTTTTCATTAGGATTCTTGTTAAGTTTGAGGCAAATGTTTGGGCTACAGAGTAAGAGCCTGTCAGTCCCGTCCCATCCCCGTTCCCCGCAACCCTGCCCGCCCCCCAAAAAAAACCATTTAATTGGTAACAGTTTTATGGCCAAAGAATTTTAAGTATAATAAAAGACTTCACAGTATTTTTAACTTGTTTCTTGGGGAGTAGGGACGGACAGTCTGCTTTGTGAAAACAATAACACAAGAATGAAAGATGGCTAAGCGGGTAAAGAACCTTGCCATGCAAATTTTTAAGGCCTGGCTACCTGAGTTTGATTCCCAGAACCCACATAAACGTAGTGTGCCATGGAGACATGCGCCCCCAACCCCCGAAACACACATCATGGACACACACAATAAACTGGTAATTTTAATTTTTTTAAGCGAAACATTTGAAGTTTAAAAAAAAGAAATAAAACTAAAAGATCATTCTTCTAAAATATTAAAACCTCTAGTGAAGCACTGTACCTACCAAATCCCAGGTGGACATGTAACGTTTCTACCAAAAATTCACTGCCCAACCCTCTCAAGAAGTTTTCAAACTCCAAAAGCAAACGTTTAAATCAAGCTCCCCCCACCCAAAAAAAAAAAAAAAGTCAGAAGAAATGCATCAACTGTCTAATCCAACGCTCTCTCCCAACCCTTCAAAACTTATTTTATAACCGTTAGCAGCAATTCCCTGACCAGCTAACACCGGCAGATAAGGGGCTGCGAACTGGGCCCAAGAACTATCGGGCAGTGGCTTCCAGAAGCGCCACCTAAGGAGAGGTGAGGGCAACCTTTCCCATCCCAGTGGCTGGAAAAACAGCGCTGAGCACAACCCATCCGAAGCGACCCTGGCCAGAGAAACCCCTAGAAGTGGCAGAAGACACCAACTAGACTTGGGGCGGGAGGGTTCTCGGCGCGGGCGGGCACGGGGTGTGGGGGGGGACACCCGCCCCGAAGGCGAAGAGGATCGGAGCGAGGGGCTTGCGGACCCCCCGCCCGGTGGTGGCCAAAGGACAGCGGGCGCCCGCGACCGCAGCTGCACGGAGGGAGCGCGGCCCCAGC